TTTCTGTGAAATGTACTTGATTTTTCTTTATTGATGTGATATTACCATATCCATGGACATGCCATTGAGCATTGACAACAACTTTGTGTACTGCAAGCTTCATAGCAGCAGCCGTATAGCATTTCTTCTGTATCTGTAAGCTTAAAGGACTGGGCAGGTAATTTTGCACCATTTTGATTAGGTCTAGTGAATTCACTATAACAAAAAAATATTGTAAAAGGCTGTGCAGAAATGAATATATTAGTGACAATCATCATATTTTTTTGGAGAAATAAATGATAGTTTAGGTTAATTACTTTTCATTACATGTTGTCTGGTGCACAATTCTATCTACGACACAGACATTCTATGCATAATTTTGTGATGACCCATGATGCATTAATTTTTTGTTAAGTAAATTTTTTGCTGAGCAAGGTAAATATGATCAAAATTATTTGTTGTTGATCAATTTTTTAATTACATGAAGCCTTTGCTAAACAAGATTCTACTATAAATGTGTTTTTAAAAGTGTCTCGTGTGCGTATTACTCTGTAGGGTGTCTCTCATTACTCCATCTTGCAGAAACAGCTGTCATTTTTTGGGGATTGAGCTATGCAAATACTTGCAATCATGTTTTTAAGCTAACACCTGCGTGCAACTTTTTTGCAAGTAAAATTTCTTAATATGACATATATATATATTTTTTTGCTACAGACCTTAGCAGAGGTACTTTTCCAAACTCTCACTTTTCAAACTTTTTTCAGGGATTTTTCAGAGGTAGTAATTGTATCATTTTGTATGATCTCTTAACTTGCATTACACTGCACAGATAGGGAAAATGTTGGAACTTTACACTATGTACTATTTTTAGTTTTGCAATAATAATTCAATTAGTTTAGCTGCTACAACATTTCGACAAAATGATAGAAGACTGTCCCAATTTACCCCACCTGACCCTTATTACCCCATTTGACGGCAGGGATAGGTGCTTTGTGGATTGTGGTCATACCCCAAACTCCAAAGTCCACTTAGTCCAGGATTGAGATTGGAATTTTCCTAGCTAGGTATTTGTTTCTGAAATCTTGCAGCTCAAACGTGACAAGTTTTCAATACATTTGGAATCTTGTGGATTGATTGTGCTCTTTTGTTAACAATTAGATAGGACATAGGAGGTAATTCATCTGACTGAAATCTGGCAGTTTCAGAAATGGCAGGAAAGCACTAGTTGCAGCCCTAATGGTAAGGCCCTATAAGTTTTTCATGCTTGCCCAAGTCCCAACTACTGCAGCCTGCGGCTGCAGGTTTAAAACCTCTGCTTTAGTCTAATAGTCTCTCTAGAACTGATGGTAACATATCTTTCTAGTTTTACCTTTCAAAATTCAAATAAGGGAGTAAACTGTAATGACACTAAAACTAAAAGTGACAAATTATCTGCAATGCTTTAAAAGTTATGGGCCTTAGCTACTTACTACCTAGTTGCTAATAATAGGCCAGCTACCTAATCAATTTTGGTGACCAAACTCTGTACACTGCACACTGGCCACTGCACAGTTATGCCCTACTACACAGTCTACAGTCTACACTACACTGAGTAGCCTACACTCTACAGTGTACAGACTACACTGAGACTGACTGAGTCTATGATACAGTCATTACTCAGTTACTCTGTACTCATAGTTTCAACTTACACGTTTAGTAAGTAGTTGTCACTTGTCAGTCATTTCAGTCCTAACTAGTCAGTGTAGTCACTACTTAGTCAGAAGTCAGAACAAGAAAAAAGCAACAGAAAAATGTACCTAGTAATTTGCATTAAAAATCACTGTCTGAAACACACACAGTCGTCTGTCAGTCGAGTATCAAACTGCATACACAATATTAATTATATGTAAAACGAAAATTTTTTCTTCAATTTTCAACTATTGATTCCGGAAGCTCGATACGGCGATTAACTCAATGTTGAATAGGTATGTTGGCACTGCACTTATCAGCTATCAGTATCAGCATCAAGTGATAAACGTCGCCAGATCATCATTTTGAAATTTTATATAATAAAGATATATAATTGCTTAGAAAGAAAGCAAACAATTTTTTAAACATCCATTCAAAGTGCGATAGAGTGTAGTTTACAGTAGTAGATTTAAACAAAATACGAAAAACTAGAGTAACTAAAGAAACTAAAGGTTAATTTTCACGAAGTTCCACTGTTCCAGTCACTCCTCTCTTCCGCAACTCTCAGACGGAATAAAAGCGAGTGTCATATAAATTTTGTGAACAAGACCAGCATCTGTGATATGAAATTTTACACCATTTCTGTATTTCACACGATGAAAACTTAATTGTTCAATGTTTCCAAAAGATCTATCTCAGTGAACTACAGTGCTATTTTTTGCCCTCGAAAGCGTTGTTTTACGATCAGTGTAATAAACGAAATTGGTCTTTGAACGTGTGACTGTATAAAATTCGTTATATTTCTACGGTCTCCTTATAATCTAATTGCTTATACTCAAAATTTATGATAAGCCTTCCACCTTTTCAGGTTTCCCAGCAGTTATATAAATTATTGTCCTCATTTATGTAATCCATTAATCGCTAATAATCGCTTAATTTGCTTTAATGCCCCAGTGAGACAGTACGGAATACCAAGAGTGGAGCAGTGAGTTGTGGGTTCGATTCCAGCTTTCAGTGACATTTTTGGTCAAAATTGGCGGGGATCGCGAAGTGAACTGGCGGTTAAAAGCAAAATTGAAACAGCGAGTTACATGTTCAAGACAGCAACAAGTGATAAAAATTCCGCGATGTTCAAAATCAGCGACAGGTTCAATGGCCTAATCAACGCAGAGATCTATTTTACTATCACAGATTTTCTTTGCGTGCACTGTTTATTTGTTATTGTATGATATATAATGTTGAAGTTGCTTATGTTTTTTGTATGCATCCTTATATAAAATGTTACTTTGTAGGCCTTAATTCTTAAAACTGTAAATTTATTTACGCGTCATTAGGGTGGACAATTAAAAATAATTGTTACAGATTTGGTTTTCTTATTGGTTGGATCACTAATATTTTCCTGCTTAGATTTTCGTGCCGGGATTAAATCTCTAACTATTGTCGTCCATTTAACCAATCAGAGGAATGAAAGCTTTTCACGATGCGATGCAGATTGAATAGAATTTAACAAAAAATTATATTTACTACCTAACTTGCGCTTGTGGATCGCCACTATTTCCTGTTCTGTTAGTGTTTTGACAAAACGTGTGTATCGTTCACTTCCCTTTGTATGCTAAAAGGACCTCTCGGCCCTAGACCATCCTGTTCTAATAGCATTGACGACGATTAATGAATCCTACACTGAGTGTTTTGCACGCTCTATGCGCCCTCCACTGACTCAAGTCAGTCAAGTGTCTTCCTGGGTCATCCTGACTCAGTTTGGCCCAACATACGGACGCAACATTGTTTTAAGTTCATTCTCTATTCCTGCTTGGGTAAGAAGATGTGTCACAATTTGGACGATATGACTCACTACTTCTTACTGAGAGCAAGACCGGCACAAGAGCCGGTCATGAGCATATGTTTAGTCTTAAAATGCCTCGTACCCTACGGAACAACTGATGTCTAGAAGCTATTTTAAATCTACCGTCCGTTGAAAAGATCTGATCAAAAGGCCAGTCTAGTCAAGAAAAGTACAAGAATCGGCGACAGGCTTATCCAGGCCTATTCTTTATATACCGAAGATACTATACTATACTACTAAGAGCAGCCTGAATTCTCTTGATGCGATGCTTTTCCGGTAGGTAGCGCAGCCAACACTGCAGTATAACTCAGTACTCACTGCAGTGGGTGACAGAGAGCGTATTTTCTCGTCGACGAAAACGTGAAGTCACGGACAGACGGACGGTCAGACGGACGGACATGACGAGCACAATAGGGCATTTTTTCAATAAATGAGAAAATGCGCTAAAAAGACCTGTTATGTATGGTGAGTGCCTATAAAGTATCAGGCGCATGCAGGCGGAAAGAGACTACTGACTCCGAAAGACTCTTTAGACCTTTACTCAAACTTGGAATTTAAAAGAAACTTTAACTACTATACGACTGGCAGACGATGACCATCTCCAGTTACAATCTTAACACTTATTATGCGCGTTAAATCAATAACTGACTGAATCGTTATAGGTATACAGTGAATTTTGAGCAAAAGAGAACGCTTTCTTCATGAAGGTTTTTAAGTGCAACCCTCTAAATAAGAAACGAGCAAGTTATTCCGGAGCTGTCTGGGGCCGATAATCCCTGTAATTATATATTTCGCCATTTAGAATGCCGTAAATAGTAGTGAACTAACAAATTCTAATTCAATAAAGACATATTTAAACTACTCGTAGCTTCAACATCTAACATGGTACTTGCGGTTGATCAACGTTTCCAACAATAACACATTCATTTTGCATCTTTTGTATCACGTCCAATTTAAAAATCAGTTATACATTTTTCATCCGATCTTTTCAACCCCGTATTGCAATTAGCTTACTATTTTATAACTAGGAATAAATTTTCAGGGACAGGAAATATCCCGAAGCAATAAGTAACTCGGATATATAGGAGCGCCAACAGCCTCTACCCTAACAAAATTTAGAGTCGCCCCAGCTTCTGGTAATCCAAATCAGAAGCTGCCGCGACTGTAAATTTTCACTGGGTAACAAAATTTAGAGTCGCCCCAGCTTCTGGTAATCCAAATCAGAGCCTGTCGCGTCTGTAAATTTTTACCGGGTATATAGGTATTTGTGGCGCCAGGCTTCATACACACAAACTAAATTTGAAAAGTATAATTAAGATTCAATAATGTTAGATACAAGAAAGAAAATTATAGGGCAGGAAATTTATCATCTCGAATTGAAGCCAAAAGTTCTCGAGTGGCAGGATCTTCAGTAGCAGAGGGTGGATACTGTTCATGTTCATGTCTGATGACGCTGTTGAGGTCGGTGATGGGGGCGAAGTGGAGGGGTAGTAGGTTGTCCGTTTTGAGTGTGAAGATCTTGGAGTGAATGGGTGGAGGATGGACGCTGTGGCCTTTGCATGGACTCAATACAAACTGCGATACGACCGAAATAAGGCCTTCCTTGACCGCTAGCTCAGCGAAACGGAGGCCTTGAAACACAAGAAATATTTATTTTCCTCTGAGAAATTTCGCAATTTTTATTTTTAGTGAAAACCATAAAAATATAGCATGCACCTTAATCATTGAAAGGTTCTGATTCGCAAGCGAACAGTCTAAAGAAACAATAAGCATAATTCGAAATTAAATCAAATATTGTAGAATGGTTACTCTTATTTAGGTATTAATAACACACGAGCTAGTCTATACTATAACACAATGCATTAGCAGCACTCTGAGTAACATTAACGCAGTACAGAAATCGAGGAATGTGAAGCATAAAGTGAAGCCGATGGAAAAGAAGATGCAACCGTACACGTGAACTTAAAAATAATTGTTACAGATTCGATTTTGCTATTGGCTAGATCACTAATATTTTCGTGATTTGATTTTCGTGCTGGGATTAAATCTCTAACTATTATTGTCTAGTTAACCAATCAGAGGGATGAAAACTTTTCACGATGCGGATTGAATAAAATTTTAACAAAAATAAAAAAAAATAAACTCACCGACGCAGCTCCTCGGCCCCACCCCGAAGGGCATGAAAGTGAAGGGCTTGATGTCCTTTTTGTTGTGGGGCAGGAAGCGCTCAGGATTGAAGGAGAGAGGATCAGGCCAGTTGGCAGGATCCCTATGGATGCTCCACACAGGCACGATTATGGGCTGACCTTTGCGAATGGAGACCTTGGTGCTGCCGAGCCTGTGACGAGCCCAAGGGTTATGGCGGAGTGGGCTTATTTAAATTTCCTTCATGATTTATAATCGAAATATTTATTTTATCTTATTTGATATTCTGTTTCCAATTATTGGTGTTTGATGCTCCTTATTTGATGTTCCTTATTTGATGTTCCTTGTTTGATGAATTCCTTATTTGATGTTTTGCTTGTTTCAGTTCAGTACCCACGCCTGTGACGAATAGCGAGGTTTTTTGGCATTTGGCTTCAAGTGAACATAAATTTCCTCTCCGTAGCGTCTCGTCCACCACGGCGCTCAGCCACGACAGCGACTGTAGAGTGTCGTAGTCCAGCCTCCTGCCGCCACACCTGCAGGGTACATAGCGTTAACACCAGGGCATGACCGTACATTTATACAAATAATACAAGGCATGATAATATGTAGTACAAATAATACAAATTATACTAGTATATAAAAGAAGAAAAATTTGCTATGCCGAATGCGACTGCAGGGTGTCGTAGTCCAGCCTCCTGCCGCCACACCTAAAGGGTACAGAGCGTTACCAATAGGGCATAACATAACATTATTAACATAACATAGTGATCTCGCCGCTGCAGTGTAGGCCTGATGTGGCCTGTCGCCGATTTTTTTCCTTTTCGTGCCTTGTTCATAGAAGATCTAAAATCGTGTCATTTGACCGGATCTTTTCAGGACTGACGATAGTTTAAAACAGCTACTAGACTTCCACCGGGTTCGATATGGTGCTAGGCATTTCAAATCTGAACATATAAATGTGCATGACCGTACATTTATACGAATAATACAAGGCATGACCACAAAGTAGTACAAATAATACAAATTCTACCAATATACAAGTGAGCAAAACTTTGCTATGCCGAAAGCAACTGCAGAGTCGTAGTCTAGACTCCTGCCGCAACACCTGCATGGTACACAGCGTTAACAAGAGGGTATTACCGCACCGTAAAATAAATTCTACTAGCACACAAATGAACCAGACTTTGCTCCGCCGCGTTTTCCTGGTACAGTCCTGTTGAGACGGAGACTCAGTTAGGTTCCTGGGTCACGAGAGGAACAAAAATAGGTTCGATAGTTTGCTTAGAAAAAGATAATCTTGCGATGTTCTATATATGCTGCTCGGAAAATTTTCAAATAAAATAGAAAACAAGTAATCTTATAATTAACCTGATTGGAATTAAGACACACTTGTATCATAATTAACCGATCAGCTGATATTTTTCAAAGGCGCCAAAGCATCAGCATGTCCCCGCAAACCACGGTGACAACATATGATGTAAGTTCATGCGTAGGAAATGCTGTACATTGGTACCGCCTGAATGAGTCATAATTTTTCATAAATTCACCTTATTCCTGAAGCAACATAAAATATTCATTAATAATATAAGCAACATCACTTGTGGTTTCAATCACATAAAGAAATAGCGAAGCAACTTCAAGGGCATCACAAATTATACTAAAAACTCTAGACGAAAGAAAACTTTCGCGAAAACCAGCACCCCAATAAGTACATCGCACTTAGCCCTCATTTACACAAGCAACACATGAAGCGGCACGCACCATCACTCTTCAGCTGGAATATAATCCAGCTCCATCACACAAAGTCCCCAGAGCAACACTGTCCCCACAGCAACACAGTCCCCAGAGCAACACAGTCCCCTGAGCATTACAGTCCGCTGAGCAACACAGTCCCCAGAGCAACACAGTCCCCAGAGCAAACAGTCCCCTGAGCAACACAGTCCCCAGAGCAGCACAGTCCCCAGAGCAAACAGTCCCCTGAGCAACACAGTCCCCAGATAAATAAAGGCGGCTAATCTAATAAATAATAAAAAATAAAAAGGCGGCTAATCTAAGGCGGCTAATCTAATGCGTAAAAACAAGCCGCTGACGGCAAATCTGTGGTCAGAACGAAAAATTCTTATTGGAGTTTTCAAAATTTAGTGCTACAACTTGTATTTTATCCGGAGAGAAGGTAAATGAATTCTTTTGTTTCAAATGGGCACAGGAATGGACACTTTTCATTGATATATATACATCCCAGCTTTGATATAATTTGGCATAAGTTCTTCCTATCTATGAGAATTTTCTGAGAAATTTCAGTAATTTTCGTGTTGCACCCATAATATACAACGTTTGCACGACAGTTGCTTCAAAATCTAAACATTTTATGTTGCGAACATGTGTGTTTTATGTGTCTAAACATTTTAGAAACCTGCATATTGATTTGACCAGGCCATCGAGAAATATCGTTTACCCATTGAAAAAACATAGAAGAAAATTGGTTACAAATTTAATTCTCTTATTTTCAATCGAGTAATATATCATAAAATATGGAGATAAAAAAATATTAAATATATCATATAAAGTAACAGAAAAATGTCGATACTAGTAAAATAAAATACTCAAACGAGTACCAGCAAAACGTTAAAATAGTTCGTACGTATAGTCCTTGGTGCAGACTCTCTCGACGACCGGGCCGCCGGGGTAGAGCCGTAGCGTCTCGTCCACCACGGCGCTCAGCCACGACAGCGACTGTAGAGTGTCGTAGTCCAGCCTCCTGCCGCCACACCTGCAGGGTACATAGCGTTAACACCAGGGCATGACCTGTCTCTTATACACATCTAGATGTGTATAAGAGACAGGAGCAACACAGTCCCCAGAGCAACACAGTCCCCAGAGCAACACAGTCCCCAGAGCAACACAGTCCCCTGAGCATTACAGTCCGCTGAGCAACACAGTCCCCTGAGCAACACAGTCCCCAGAGCAAACAGTCCCCTGAGCAACACAGTCCCCAGAGCAGCACAGTCCCCAGAGCAACACAGTCCCCTGAACAACACAGTCCCCAGAGCAACAAAGTCCCCTGCTGAGCAACAAAGTCCCCAGAGTAGCACAGTCCCCAGAGCAACACAGTCCCCAGAGCAACACAGCCCTCAGAGCAACACAGTCCCCAGAGCAACACAGTCCCCAGAGCAACACAGTCCCCACAGCAACACACTTTCCAGAGCAGCACAGTCCCCAGAGATACACAGTCCCCAGAACAACACAGTCCCCAGAGCAACACAGTCCCCAGAGCAATACAGTCCCCAGAGCAACACAGTCCCCAGAGCAACACAGTCCCCAGATCAACAGTCCCCAGAACAACACAGTCCCCAGATCAACAGTCCCCAGCTCGACCCACTTATGGAAGGCAGCTGCCAGCTCGCGCCTGAGTGCGGCCTGGGCATGTTGATGTTGGGCCAGGTTGTGCAGGGCGAGGGCCAGCGCCGTGGAGGTGTTCGCGTAGCCCGCCAGCAGGAACAGCACAGCCTGCGCCGTCACGTGCTCCTCCGACAACTCTGTGAGGCATGTGGTGAGGCATGTAGTAAGGCATGTGGTGAGGCATGTGGTGAGGCATGTGGTGAGGCATGTGGTGAGGCATGTGGTGAGGCATGTGGTGAGGCATGTGGAGGTGTTCGCGTAGCCCGCCAGCAGGAACAGCACAGCCTGCGCCGTCACGTGCTCCTCCGACAACTCTGTGAGGCATGTGGTGAGGCATGTGGTGAGGCATGTGGTGAGGCATGTGGTGAGGCATGTGGT